TCCATACTGACATACGTACATACTTTTTCTCTTCTCTGTTCAGAATCATTATTTTTTTCAACACAAAATCTAATCTGTCTTTTGATTTTTTTTTTTTCGTTTTCTCTGTTCTCATTTATTTTTTCGCTTTCTCTGTTCTCCTTTGTTTATTTTTCTCTCTCTGTTCTCCATTCTTTTCCGTTTTCTCTATTCTCCTATCTTTTTTTCCGTTTTCTCTATTCTTTCTTTTTTTTCGTTTTCTCTGCTCTCCTTTTCTGTTTTCTCTCTCCTCCTTTCCTTTTCCGTTTTCCCTATCCTCCTTTCTTTTTCCGTTTTCCCTCTTCTCTTTCTTTCATCCTATAAGACCCACGAAAGTCACGAAACAGCCCCGATCCTTCCAGAAGACCACCTACATCACCAGAGACCACACGAAGTCAGAGAGTCGCACGGTCCAACGCGTCTATCGCCCGCAGATTCAGCCCGGGAGAGCAGACGAGTGGTCACGTGTCCTCCTGCCTGTGCCTGCAGTCACACCCAGCCATCTCGTGCACTGTAACATCATCAACGTCGAGTATAACTTGGTCGTAAGTCCCTGCTTGCACGGGTATGGCCAGAAAGGGGGGGGGGTGGTGTTGGAGGTGGAGGGGGAGGGAGAAAGAGTGGGAATGAGAGGGGGGGCAGGTAGAAGGAGAGGGAGATAGAGGGGGATGATGAAGGGGGAAGCAGGCTGAAGTAGAGGGAGATAGAGGAGGAGGGAGAAATAGTGGGCGTTTGAATTGGAAGAGAGAGAGAGAGAGAGAGAGAGAGAGAGAGAGAGAGAGAGAGAGAGAGAGAGAGAGAGAGAGAGAGAGAGAGAGAGAGAGAGAGAGAGAGAGAGAATATGAACAAGAAGTTGAAACTGATAAAATGCGGTCTATATTTTGTTGTGTTAGTGAATATAGCAAAATAGAACAAAGTGGCATTCATATATTATCCATTCATCTGTTATTCTAGTTTGGAGCCAAACTCGGGAAGTGCAAAAGAGCAGAGATTACAGAGACTATCATCATTGGGTCTGTCCCGCTGCCAGGTTCCACTGTCGCTCCCCACACATCTGTTAGAGCTGGCGGAACAGTCCTGGCGAACTCCGTAGGCCGTGCAGACTCCCCACGAGTTGAGCAGTCTCGTCGGCCAGGTCAAGGAGGTGATCATTCTTCGTACAACAGGGTCGCCATGTCTGAGCAGTATGCGAATGTCCGTTAGTGTTGGCCGTGTTTTTTGTGCATGTGTGTATTTCTATTTCAGTTTCTGTCTGTCTGTCTGTCTGTCTCTGTCTCTCTGTCTCTCTCTCTCTCTCTCTCTCTCTCTCTCTCTCTCTCTCTTCTCTCTCTCTCTCTCTCTCTCTCTCCTCTCTCTCTCTCTCTAACTCGTGACAAGAACATCTCCGTATGTCAGGAATTAGCTCATTGCTTTTGTATGACTATTATAGAGTTGAAATGAAGAATTACTTGTAACTAGAAACTATTTCTCTCTCTCTCTCTCTCTCTCTACGTTCATCCTTCCCTTCCTTCCCCTGTCTACCCTGAGGCTTAATTGTAATTAATTGTCTTTTCAGCTCCCCCTTCCTACGAGTCCTGCGTCTTCAGCGGTGGACGGCAGAGCGCGTTTGGCAATGACAGCGACGGCGATGGAGGTGGCTTTACCCCACGTTATAACGCATTCAGAAGACACTAATTTTTTCATACTTTTCATAGGTTTAGATTATTATCACACATGATTTGATACTTAGGTTGGGTAGTTGTTATGGTTATAAGATTGTGTATTTACGTTTTAATGATCATTCCCTGTACTAATGATTGATTTTGTAGTTCGATTTTTTTATATTTAAGTACTCTGATTCAGCAAAAGTTGAGAGCTTAATTCCTTCAGGAGAACGGCCTTAAGCCAAGGGCTCGGACTTGGTTCGCGACCCAGGGTGGATGCTACCCCGGCCACCCTTTCTCCTCAAGGCCGACCCATGACCGATCTGCGACAAACCCAACCCTGATCGACCCTACCCATAACAGACCCTGAAGACCACTTTTCAAAATCACACAAAATGCAAGGTTCGCGAATGTTAAATGCATGAATGAAAATCAATCGCTTTTGCACGTGAATCATCCCTTTATCATCAAAGAGGACCTTGATGGCCAAGCGGACGGCGATTTAGATTTTATCCGAAAATTACGAGATGGAAGCCTCCGTGTAAAACTGCAATATTACTCCCAGATTAAAGATTTACTTCAGCTGACGCAAATTTATGATCTCCGAGTCAAAGTAACTATTCCTGTTGGTCCAAATACCTGTAAGAGAAAAGTTTTTCATGGAGATTTGAGGACGATGGAAGAAAGCGAAATTCTGGGGAACATGAAGGACCAAGACGGAGTGGACGTTGATTGTATGACCTAGAAGGACGGAAATGTGAGAACGAAAACATTTACTTTAAATAAAATCCCTGAATATGTCAACGTTGGATAAAGCCCAAATCCCACACCTGCCATCTCCTACCCCCCAGTGGCGTTGACAAGTTGCTTATGCAAGGTCATGGAACGAACTTTTAAGAGTAAGCTATTGCGTTTTTAAAATTCCAGAAATTTACTGGATGACGAGCAGAGGACAGGGACGCCAAACTGTTGGTCAACTAGTAAACCTGGACACATATTCAAGGGGCAATTGCCAAAAATTATCCTTTTTTATTTCAATATTTTTAGACAGAGAAAAAGCCCACAACAGGACATGGAGATATGGCCTACTCAGAAAACTTTATGCTTTTAGATCATGTAGAAACTTGCCTTCTTTCATCCAAAATTTCATTTCCAGCAGAACTTTTGCTGTCAAATTGTTTTCTGACAATGTCACTTTCTCGAACATTTTTGTTCAGTCGAACGGGGATCCCACACGGGAGCGCCTTGGCACCAACATTAATTCTGTGTATAATCAATGATATCTTACCAGCTCCCCCTCGGAATCTTAAATCCTTACTGTACGCTGATTATTATGCATTGTGGCATTCAAGCAGAATTTTCGGCAAATCTCGTCTAGCACTGGATATAATTCATAGTGGGGGCTCCCAGTGTTTTTTTTTTTTTCTTTTTTTTTCTCTTTTTTTTTTTTTTTTTTTTTTTTTTTTTTTTTTTTTATCACACAGGAGGATGTCGAACATCAGGCTAACTCTAGACAGTCACCCAATACCTATTCAAAATTCTGCTAGATTTCTCGTTCTATTCTATCGTAGACTAAATTGGAAAGACCACAAAGATCAGTTAAAGAATAGATGTCAAAGAGTACCTTTCCAGCATTATTGGGGAGGAATGGGCAGCGGATAGAAAGTCTTTGCTAAAGATATATAAAGCCCTGGTTAGGTCTGAAGTAGATTACGAGTCGACTGTGAATGGCTCAGGTTTGGAAAGGTTCGGATGTTGAGCAGAATACTGGTTTCCGTGTGTCTTGGAGCCCTGAAATGTACTCGGATCGAGCGCCCTGAGGCACCGACTCAGACGCGGCCAGCTGGCGTTGACCTCTGCCGCGAAGGTGGATCGGGACCAGAGCCATCCGAATGGCAATGGTGGCATTAGGCCCTTTACCACACGGGTCCACGGCCTTGTCGAGAAAGTCGATATAGATCTCCCTACCATCGCTACCCTGGTTCATTCAGCTCTAGCGCCATGGGAAACGCCCAATTTCACCATCATGGAAGCAGCTGAGGCCATGGCGCCAATGAAACTGGGACAGCCCACAGGAAGAACAAGATGGATGTGGTGTTGGCTCGTCTAAGAGTCAACGCTACAGGAATCACACGAAAAAAAATTCCACCACAATGCCCAAACTGCACACTCAACCTATCAGTAAATCACATATTAATAACTTACCACCAATTCAATAATCAAAGACAATACTTAAAAAAGTACTTCTGAAACAAAAACATATAGAAGTCACGGAGCATTCTGATTGAATTGTTTGCTTCTCTTGTTATCAATATTCTTGTGTGCAATATTTCTTTACTTATGAACTTCAGAGATATCAGATGACTGCTTTTAGAATGATCGCTATTTTTGTTTTATAACATTTGATTCATGAAGATATAGCGTAGTCTCGAATGTTATTGATTTTCTTTTTCTTGTTTCATGATTAATAATTATATAACAGGGTCATAATTGTTTAGTTGTATGTAAAGTGTCAAAAACCCAAATAATGCCTTGTCTGTTTTTTTCATATAATCTTTGATATTGTAATTTTACTACATTGCATTAATAACCCTTAGTAAAAAGATATTGATTTTCATAGATTTAACTCAATCCTTGAATTGCACCAAGTAATACTATTAATATTGTCACACTGAAATCCACTTATTGATTCATCTAAAGTTACACTACAATTAATGAGATCAATTAAAATGTATTGATTTTCAAAAAGACTTAACTCAACCCTTGAAATGCACTAATTAGTACTATCAATACTGTCACATTGAAACTCACTAATCAATCATTTAAAGTTACACTGCAATTAATGAGAACAATTAAACATTTATTAATCAAACATAATAAATCTTGATACTAAAGAGCAATGAATAAAATGTGAAATATGGGACCACAACCCTAGAAATCGATTATTCTTATGAGAAAGTGTGATTTTATTCTCTGAAATAGAAAGAAATAGAAATGTCAGGATGCAATGTTATGAATAGACAGAGTAACGTTATGTTACCGACTGAACCTGTAGAACAGAGAAATTCCTTTGTGTACCGTAAACTATTTTTATCTCATTATAGTCTCATATTCTTAAATTTTGTTTTGATTTGTTGATTGTCTAATAAATTCCTTCCCAATGCCTTGCTCTCCGGGGGGGGGGTCTTAGGAGACGGAGACTGAGGCCCAAGGTAGGGGATCCCCCCTGCGTTGGGCCTCAGCCTTCGCCTCAACTAATTTTGCTTGGTCTTTTCTTCCCCTTTCCTCTTCCGTGTCTTCTAAATCCCCTTCTATCCCATTGCTAAGGTGTGAGAGTCGTGCTGAAAGGATGAAAGGCTGGCTTTGTGTCAGCCACGAACGGCTCCGGGAGCCATGTGCATGGTATCCCCTTGGTCAATTGCCTAGCCCTTGCCCCTTATGGGGACCCTGAGGGGTAGACCGTTTCTTTTCCCCCAGTTTATTCAGGCTCAACATGGCTAATAATGAAGATTCTTTACCCTTAATAGGAGCATTAAGACTTGCCTCTTCCTCAACTAGCCTTTCTGAATTTGATTTTGATGGGTTTCCGACCCCTGCCCCTCCTTTGACCACGGCTCCGACCACTGATACTAATACCACCTCTTCTACGCTTACGAACAACTCCAACCATTCCGAAACACCCACCCAGGTTATTACTCAACCTCCAGAAACCTCCCCTTCCTCTTCCCCAACATCCATCCTCCTCTTCATCTCCTGCTGCACAGTCCTCTTCAACGTCTACCCCTCTTCCCTTATTACTACTCTTCATCCTCACTGTCCTTTCCCCCGCAGAACAACTCCACTCCACACCACACGATCTTCCTCTCGCCCTCGTCCTTCTACTGCCTCTACCTTTGCAAACCTTCTGAGTACTCTTATTTGGCCCAGCCAAGTGGGATCGATAATTTGTGACCCCCCCCCCCCAACACACACACAGCTCCCTATTCTGAGAATACCCTTCTCTTCTTCTCTTCTCTTCTTTGTCAAGGTTACCTTTCACAGTGCATTCTCAGCACTAACTGACCTTACTTTCAACGCATTTCTGCCGAGCCTCACCCCCTCTCTAAATACTTGTACTGGACCTGTTTCTATCCATCCAAATGCTTGTTCTACTTATAACAAGAGCTGATCAGACTGTGAAAATAACCTACTTACCTGCCTTATTGATTATGATGCAGTGGCAGTACAGTGTGCACTATTCCTCCCTGAGATCAGCTTAAGCCCCATGTCAGTACTGCCAATGTTAGCTTTCGTAGACATGACCTCCCCCATGAAGTTCATATTGGTGGATTGTCCTACCATGTCCAACCATATGGTTCCCTTCCTCGTCAACGTCAGAAATGTCGGCTGTTTGGCCACCCAGCCATACACTGTTGCTCCACGGCCCGCTGCCCTCTTTGTGACCAACCTAGTCATGACTGTTCAAATCAAGGTCTATATAAGTACTTATATAGACCTTGGTTCAATTTGCCCTGCTCAGTCACCTCGCTGCTGTTCCCAAGCGCCGTTGCTACGTACTGCCGAATCGCCCTGTTGAACTGCCCGCAAATTTCCTAAACTAGGAATATTATCATATGTCATGAACACCATTTATATGGAAGACCAAACAATTATTTTATAACTCCCATTCATCAGTGCTACCTTCTATGTCAATTGTATTACGTTTTATTGACTCCCGAGCCTAGAACTAAACGTTGTACCTTTGTAAATATTCTTATACCCTTTTCATATGTGTTTCATTATATATTAATGTACAGTTACAAAGTAAGATACAAGAAGTAGTTGGCCTTTTACCTATTATTATTGTCATTATTATCAGTTGCTATTATTATCATTTTTCTTATTGTCAATGTCATTATCATCATTATCATTACCATTATTATTTTTTTAATTATTATCATTATTATTATCATCATCATCATCATTATCATTCTTGTTATTACAACTACTCCTACAGTTAGTATTATCATCATTACTACTACTACTACTACTACTACTACTACAATTTCATTATCCTTATATTAATATTTTAACAGTAGCAACAAAAATGATTATATATACGAAAGTGGTCAAAAGGAGCGACGTAAAACCGTAACCCTCATATCTTATTTCTGTCGCTTTTGTCTCAAACTTCAGGAAAACTTATCAACTGTAAAATTCCCTTACGGTGATATGAATCTTAACTTCATATATTATAATTCATCCGAACACCTTCATCTTGTGAAAGGATTCGGACAAAGTGACCAAAACAGATGGAACCGAAAGTACGTCGTCAAGTACATAGGAGAAAGCAAGGTATTTGTGCTTATTTACGTCGGTAAAGCAAGATTTGATTTCCTGAAAATAAAAAAAAAGGGAAAAGACATCTGAAGGATTGGTTAGGAATGAGGAATACATGTTGACATTCGTATAGTAAGTGTGAAAGACAAAAATTGGGAGGCAACATTGTGTACTAGGCCTCGGTATGCTGACCTCGAGTTATTCATTTTGTTCAATGATTTGTGTCGTATACTGTCATATATACTGATCATTTTGCTACTGGTTAAGTTTCGGTACAGGTCCACTTCCATACAGCCTTCGTTTAGACGAAAAATATTAGGTACATTTAAAATTCCTGTCAGCCATCTTTTAGACGAAAAAATAAGGTATTGGTCAAAATTCTGCCAGCCGCCTTTTAGACGAAAAATAACATGCAAATGATAGAGCGAGTGATTTTAAGAAACTTACCTTCAATGAACTTTGGTAATTTTCTATATTACGTTTACATAACCAATATCAACGATTTTGGTATCGTTTGATT